ATTTTTAAATCGTGATAAATTAGGGGAGAAAAAGTATGATCCTTACCTTCAGGAAGTGTTTATGAATTCCAGCTTGTAAGTGTGGCTCAGTTCCCCTGGCTCTCTTGTTTCTTTCTTTAGCTGGTGGTTAGAGGTACCTAGTCCTAAGTACAGATTTGAGCTGTGTAGATTTCTAGGAACTTATATTACAGTGTGATTTTGGCCAATATGGATTGATTGCTTTTGATTTTTATGCCTCCCCCACTCCCTTTTGCTGTAATTAGGAGTCAGTCACCAGTAATACACTATAAACCTATACTTTTTTGTTAAAAACTTTTGGGGAAGGGAGAACTGGGTACATGGCTCAGTGCTTATGAGCACTTACTGCTTGTCCAGAGGACCTAAGTTCAGTTCCCAGCATCCATATTAGGTGGCTCACAGTGCATGGAACTTCAGTTCCAGGGGATCCAATGCACCTGGTCTCTGTGAGCACTTGTACTCACATGCACAGACACATACAGAGGCACATAGTTATAAGTATAATAATAAATAATAAAAAATAAAATTTAAGGATCTGGAGAGATGGCTCGGTGGTTAAGAGCACTGGCTGCTCTTACAGAGGACCTGGGTTGGATTCCCAGCACCCACATGGTGGCTAACAACTGTCCTTGACTTCAGTTCCAGGGGAATCCAACCTCCTGACTTCCATGGGCATTGCACAATACCTTTGTGCTTACATGCACTCACATATATGAAATAAAAATAATAAAATTAAAAAAAAATTAAATTCTTTTTAAAGGCTTCATATGGTGGTACAGGCCTGTAATTTGGGCACTTAGGAGGTAGAAGCAGGAGAATCAAGGAGTTCAAGATCATTCTCGGCTACATAACAAGTTTGACAAGTTTGAGGCCAGTCTAGGCTACATGTGACCCTGTCTTAAAAGTCCCAAATTAAGCTGGACATGGTGGCACACACCTTTAATCCCAGGGAGCTCTCTGAGTTCAGGCTAGCCTGGTCTACATAGTGAGTTCCAGGCCAGTTAGGGATACATAGTGAGATGCTGTCTCAAAAACAAAACAAAGGCAAAACCCAAACCAACTAAACAAAAAAACTGTGTGTGTGTATGTGTGTGTGTGTGTGTGTGTGTACAGATGAAACTGTGTAGGAGTTGGCTCCATCATCATCACTGAGCTATCTTGCTGGCTCCCAAAATACACTTACTTCAAAAAATGGAAATCTTTAGGGCTGTTCTTCACATTGTCATTTCCTGTAGTGCATGGGGGCAGGAGTGGATCTTTCAGCTCAGCATATTAGCTTTCTCTTCCAGGCTGTGGAGAACTTGTCTAGGTTGCTCTCCTTTGCTGGGCATGTATCACAGGCTAGAGGCTGCTGTAGTGGTGCCTGTGTGAATGACAGGGAGCGGTGTGTGGATTCTGCTGTTTCTGTGGGTTTCCTCCCTAGAGAACTTTGTTACTGAGACAGGTGGAACTTTGAGGTCTGCTGCTGCTTGGTGGAATTACATAGCTCTTGTGTTTGGTTCTCTGAAGCCTTTTGCCTGTGGTAACTAGTTAGCAATGTCTGCTCCCTTTAGTTGATATTCTTTTGTTGGAGCTTGCTCCATTCTTGTCAGACATTTTGATTTCCACTGACTGCCCGCCCTGTATACTTCCATGTACCTTCCTTAACCTGTTCTAAGGCAGACATTGTACTTGGAGCTTTTGATCATTTAAACATAGACTATAAATATACTGTTTTCCCCCATACAACTCAAGTTTTGTGAGTTGACCTCAGATGTTTTGGACTGAAGAGGATTGGTATGCAAATGTCAGCACATTCTGTAGTCATTCTTCACTTTTGAAACAAGCAACCATGTTCTTCTTCCTTCCTTCCTCCATCATAGCAGGGGTCAGGATTAGACCTAACCAGCTGCCTTTATATAGCCTGCAGGCGCCACTTTAGTGGGTTAGTACCATGCACCTTGTGACCGAACCTGCGTTTTGTGTGTGCGCACGAGCGTGCGTGCGTGTTCGTGCGCGCAGGAGGGGGCGCTCAAGTAGGGTGGGGGGGTGTTCCAAGCTTCATTCTGCTCTTGCTTCTGGTGCTTGCCTTCTTGGCCTGTGGTAATGCTGCAGCTTTCCGTTGGCTACTCTGCTCAGGGGTGCTTGGCCCCAAATAGCAGACTTTTGGTCTGGAAATTCACAGCAGATTACCTTGTCCATAAACAGACTGTGAAGTTGAAATGTCTGGGCTCTGCTAGAGGACTCTTAGCTCTTACAGTGTACTGGAATTTAGGTGCTTTTACTGCTGTGATAAAAATACCTGAGAAAAACAACTTAAAGGGAAAAGGATTTGTTTTTGCTTGTTGCTTTAAGCCTCAGATGAGGCAAAGGGAGCATCGGGCAGAGGCTGCTCACTTCATGGCAGCTGAGAAGTTTGGCAGTGGGGTAGGGGTGGGGGAACCAGAGAGGAGATATGTCCTTCCAAGGCAAGCCCCTGGAGACCCCCTTTCTCCAGCTAGGCCTTACCTCCTAGTAGCCCATTACTGTTTTATTCTGTTGTGGCTGGTCTCAAATGATGGGGTCCTCCTGCCTCTACCTACTTAGTGCAGAGCTTACAGGCATGTACCACATCTGATTTATGTCATGATGGGATCAAACCCAGGACTTTGTGCATGCTAGATAAGTGCTCTACCAATTGAGCTACATTGTAACCCAAAGCTTAGTTACTTTTAGTATCCATTGATGAATATTACCACAGCAGATAACATACTACTATGAAAGATTTACTAGTTGGCATTATATAGTGGCGTAGAACCATTTCACCTATTTATTTACTGTTCTTATTTTCTTCAGTGGATTGTGATTTGTCCATGCTGTTTATTTGTGTGTGTGTGTTTACTCATGTATGTGAGTGCATCTGTGTGCATATATGAGAGTTTTGCCTGCATACATGTAAGTGTACCCATGTGTGCAATGCCCACAGAGGCTGGAAGAGGGCATCAGATTCTCTGCAACTGTAGTTACAGACAGCTGTCAACCTCTGTGTGGATGCTGGGAATTGAACCTGGGTCCTCTGCAAGAGCAGCGAGTACTCTTTAACCACTGAGCCATCTCTCCAGCCCTCTTTGGTTTTTGAGATAGCATTGCTTATTGGCCTAGAGCTCACAGAGTAGGTTAGGTGGCTGGCCAGAGAGCCTCAGTAGCCCTGGGTCTGTACGCCTAGTGCTGAGATGACAAGCATGTACCATCAAGCCTAATTTTTTATGTGGGTGCTGAGTATGGAACTCCGGTCCTCATGCTTGTGCTTTACTGACTGACTGATCTCCCCAGATCCTCATTTTGTTATTTTGAACTTGACTCTTGGGAGCCCGTAAAGCTAATTCCTTGTGACTTTTTTGTCATCATTTTTTGAGTGCTTCATTACTTGCTGGCATAGCAACGTACTTGAGGTTGAGTGTTGTGTTTTCCCAGTGCCAACTCTATAGTCATCCATTTCTCCAAGGAGTGCTGCTGGCCCCTTTTAGTGCAGGACATTGTTATTTTGATACGAAGTGTGCTTATTGTTCTTGTGAAGTGTGATTGTGTCTCTGTCCTCTCGGCATGCATATTTAGGAAACATATACACACACAAAGCTGCTTTTATCTCTGCAATATTAAACCATGAGTTCACATTGATACTTTCAGTCCAGTCCAGAATTACAGTGTGTTCCAGCCTTTCCCCTTCCAGTATTTATGATTCTCTCTCTGACCATCAGATAACTGGCTTCCATTATCTTTAGTGTATCTACTTAATGGCTCAGTCTTTTCAGTTTGCAGCCAAACTTACTGGCATGTCAGCCAGAAGCTTGATCTTAGGCTTGTTGCTTTCTGCCCCACTTGCTTACCCTTGAAAACTCGCCCCTAGAAGTAACGATTGGAAACATAGTCCTTATGAAGGTGGGAGGTGTAAGCAGGATTATGTGAAGGAGGGAAGTTAGAAGCTAGTCCGAAAACTTAGACCTGACCCTCTCCTGCTCCTCTAGTTGCTGGCTGAAAGCTCACCCTTTGTAGGGGGAGTAAGAGTGAGAGAGGCTGCTTTATGTGGTGATGTTGTCTGTGTGTCCAGCATAGACTGTGAAATGAAGAAGGCTTTTTTGGGTTAGTCTACCTGAAGTCTATGGGCTTTGTGAGCTTTGATTAGCTGTGTATCTTAGTGGTGGACAGACCTAAAAGAAAGTTGGTAAATCTGTTTTTTTTTTTGGTTATTGTTTTTTGAGATGGGTTTTCCTGTAGCTCCAGCTGGCCTGGAACTCACTATGTAGACCAGGCTGGCCTTGAACTCACAGAGGTCTACTTGCCTCTGCCTCCCTAATGCTGGATTAAAGGCGTGTGCCACCATGCCAGGCTTAACTCTGTTGTTAATCCCTTTACCAGAGATGTTGTTTTATCAATAAATGTAGCCCTGGCTGGTCTGGAACTCACTATGTAGACTAGCCTGGCCTCCAACTCAGAAAGATCTACCCGCCTCTAGGAGCAAAGGCATGTGCTACCATATGGGGTCAAGCATAGTCATCTTAATAAAGAGTTTTAAGAAATACATGGTTTTCCAAACAGATATTTATTATTTACCTACTTATTTTGGTTTTTGAGGCCCTGTAACCCCAGCTGGCTTGGAACTTAGTGTATAGACCAGACTTGTCTTGATCTCACTGATATCCTCCTGCCTCTGCTTCTGATGTCCCGGGATTAAAGGGTTGTTGCCACCATGCCTGGCTGTTTGTTTATTTTTACGTAGTGATAACTGGGCAAATATATTTTTCTGTGGTGGTGGATATGAGGGTTGGGGGGGCAATTTTTAAAAATTCTGTACATTTTAGGTTGTGGTTTAAAAGGATTGTGTTCATTAACCATAAAACAACTGGTTAGATTGGATTTGTGGACTGCTGTAATTGAGGATAGTTTTGCTATATGCTTAGAGCAGCAGGATTTATGTAAATTCATGTCATTTAACTGCTAATTTTTAATTTTTCTCTACTTTTTAGATATTATGATCAGATTTGTTCCATTGAACCCAAATTCCCATTTTCTGAAAATCAGGTAAGCCATTAATTTTTTTTTAAAGTTGCATGTAGTGGCTTTTCCTCATACTATTTTACTGAAATCAGTGGTATCTCCACTATGTCTAGTCTTCTAGGACATAATTTTATGTAAGTAGACGTTCTGAGGTCTGTCTGATGGGAGCTGTCCTTTTGAAGGTGCTCCTGAGTCTCACTGTCTTCCTCAGCCATCCATGAGGCTGTGTAGAGAGAGCATCAGTCTGTGCTTTGTGTCATAGGCTGTGTTCATTGATATAATCTGCTCTGTCTGTCCCCTTCACTTTTATAGAGTTAAGAAGGAAATTGTAAATTCAAGAAATACTCTGTTTAATGCTTTAAAAATTATTAGTACAAATTAGACTTACAAAAAATTTCATCTGCTGTTATGAATTTTATGTTATAAGAATATCACCTTTACTTTTTCTTAAAGGTTAGTTGTTGAAAATGCTTATTTTTTTAGTTTTATTTGAGAGTCTTAATGAAAGGTCTTTTTTTTAAAATTTTATTTGTTATTTTTATATTATGTGTATGTGTGTATTGCCTGCATGTAGGTAAGTGCACCTGTGTCGTGCATTACCCTCAGAGGTCAGAAGAGGCTGTCCGATTCCCTAGGACTGGAGTTACGGACAATTGTTAGCTGCCACATGGGTTCTGGGATTCGAACCTGGGTCTTCTGCAAGAACAGCCAGTGTTCTTCGCCACTGAGCCATCTCTTCAGCCCTTTAATGAAAGTTTTAAAAGTGTATAGTATTTAAATTTTTTTGATTTATTTTTATTTTGTGTGTATAAATGTAAGTGTACTTGTGTTGTACAGTGCTCACAGAGGCCAGAAGAAGAGCATCAAATTCCCTGGAACTGGAGTTATGGACAGTTGTTAGTTGCCATGTGGGTGCTGGGAACTGAACCCTGGTCCTCTGCAAGAACAGCCAGTGCTTTTAACAGCTGAGCCATCTCTCCAGCCCAAGAAAAGTACACATTCTTATACTAATTTTTAAAAAATATTTTATTATTATTTTTTTATGTGTATGCGTGTATTGTCTGCATGTAGGTAAGTGCACCCGTGTTGGGCAATGCCCGTGGAGGACAGAAGAGGCTGTTGGATCCTCCGGAACAGGAGTTAGGGACAGTTTTTAGCTGCTATGTGGGTGTGGGATTTGAACCCGGGTCTTTTGCAAAACAACCAGTGTTCTTAACCCTTGAGCCATCTCTTCAGCCCCATTTTTATACTAATGTTTTTACAGATGAAATTATAATCATGTTAAGATTTACTTTAAAATAGCCTGGGGTAAGCTGGAAGTGGTGGCTCGCGCCTTTAATCCTAGCACTTGGGAGGCAAAAGCAGGCGGATCTCTGTGAGGTCAAGGCCAGCCTCATCTACATAGCAAGTTCTAGGCCAGCTGGGCCTACAGGGAGACCTTGTCTCTAAAGGACCAAAAAAAAAAAAATGTCTGAGATAGAGGTGTATAGGTATGGGTGATGGTGGGAAAAAGGGAATTCTGGGAGTAAATGAACCAAGAAAAGCAGATGACCAAAGCTGCTGGTGTGTAGGAGTTAGAATGGTATAGATTTTGTGCCCCAGCCCCCCGAAATATTTTAATGTCAGTACTTTACTTGAAAAAGAGTACATCCAAAAGGAGGAGAAGGCATCATTGGCTTGAGGTGACACTTCTAGTGCTTGAGTCTTTGCCCTTTTCCTCACTCTGGATCTGTCCTCAAAAGGACAGTGTTACTCTTGGAGTGGTGACACAAGCCTTTAATCCCAGCCCTCAGGAGGCAGAGGGGCCAGAGGGGCTGAGGGATCTCTGTGAGATCGAGGCCAGCCTGGCTCACTTAGGACTTCCAGCCAGGCTTGCACCTTTGATAGGGAGACCCTGTCAAACAGCAGCAACAAAAACACCACCAAAAGGAAAAGTGTTTAACAAGGTGCAAGGTAGGGATTTAACTTTTTGTTTTCTCTCATTCAACTAGATCTGCTTGACATTCACTTGGAAGGATGCTTTTGATAAAGGTTCCCTTTTTGGAGGATCTGTAAAACTGGGTATGTAATTTCTAATCAGAATGATAGGAGACTTGGCTTGAACACTTTTATTGTTTTAGGTTTCTAAAGTTGCTTTCCCAGTGACTTCTTGTGATTCCTAAAGTTTTTAAAAATCTCATTTTTCTTTTTAACTTCAACTTCTAATCTCATGTAATTTCAAAATATTTGCAGAGCCTATGCCTTGCCAGGCACTGTCCTAGTTATCAGCGTGCATAAGGCAGTTGTCCAGTCTGGTTGTGAGGGTGGTTGATAATTCTGAAGCGTACTGTGTAAATGTAATGTGTAGTATGTACTGCACAATGATGATTTGGCCCATGACAGACTTCTTATATGTTGGTGGCTGCATAAGATTTTCATCTGGTGATACTATACCTGTCATACTTTCATACATAGTCTCACACATGATGAAATTTGCCTAATGGCTCATTTCTCAGAATGTACCTTAGTCATTATGTTGTGAGGTGCTTCACCAGAGAAGACCACACAAAATTTTGCCAAATGAAAGTCTTTGCTGGCCAGTGGCTACACAAGGGTGTTGGAACCCTAGCGTGTAGCCCTGAGACATCTCTAGGCTAAGCTTTTATACAGAAAAACCATAACGAGGAGTGAAAAGTTTACACTCCCAAGCTTACAGGTGTTCTTTATTAAGCAACAATTACTATTCTGCAGAAGTAAGCCAAGCATAACCTATAGAAGCCATAAATCTGCAGTTAGCAGGTACTCTCCAGGACACGATAACCTGTTCCCAAGACAGCTGGAGTCCAGCTGACATGTGTTCCCATACCCTGGGCCAACTGCCTGATAGTTTCAGAGACTAGAGTCACCCTAGGGATTGACTTGTAATGAATAGGGATTGACTTGTAATGAATAATAAACTTTAACATGGCATAGCTATGGTCAAGAAGGTGCCCTATTACAATTAAGTGACATGACTATAAAAGCTCGTGGGAGCCTAGATTAGGAAGAACTTACTCTACCTGTAGAAAGTGAGCCATAAGTCAGGTGTTGAAGATGAGTTTGTTTTTCTAGGTAGATGATGATATTACAGGTACAATGTCATAACCAAAGGTCAGAGTATAAAGGCTTTTGGATTAACTAGCTCAAGCTTTAATTTCCTCACCTGGAAGTGGAGATTAATATTTACTCCATGGAATTACGATGTAGATTTAAAGAGTTAAAACATGTAAAGTCCTTAGAACAATATTAAGTATTAGCTGTAATGAATAATAAATAATAATGTTGTTACTGTGTACAAATTATAGCACATATTTATAGTACATATGATATATAAACATCATATAATGTATATGCTTATATGTTATATGATGTGTATGTTTAGTTTATATAGTATGTATACTTTGTTTTTTTTTGAGACAGGGTCTTCTTGTAGCCTCACCTGGCCTGGCTATGTAGACCAGACTGGCCTTGAACTCAATAGAGATCCATCTGCCTGCCTCTGCCTCCCAAGTGCTGGGATTAAAGGCATGTGCTACCATGCCTGGCCATATTTATCTTTTGTTACTGGCTTATTTCACTTAGTAAAATGTTCTCAAGGTTCATCTGTGTTGTAGCAAGTTGTAAGGTTGATTAATAATTCATTATATGTATGCTCTGTTTTGTTTACATATCTATTAGCTGGTCACTTGGGTTGCTCTTTGAGTACAACTGCTTTCAACATAGGTATAGAAGTATTTCTTTGAGACCCTGAATTCAGTTCTTTTGGGCAGTGTACCCAGAAGTGGTATTCTAGATCATATAGCAATTCTGTTTTTAATTAAAAAAAAAAGATTTACTTGTATTTATTTTATTTTATGTTTATGTGTGTGTGCCTGAGTATAGATATATGCACCATATGTGGGCAGGTGCCCGAACAGTTGTGAGCCTCCTGATATTGGTGCTGGGAACTGAGCCTGGGTCCTCTGTAAGAGCAGCAAGTGCTCTTAACTGCTAAGCCATCTCTCCAGCCCCTATTTTCAGTTTTTGGAGGACCCACCTACTGTTTTCCTCCAGCAGCAGAAGCAGCATTTATATTCTCAGCAGTGAAGGTGCCAGCTGACATCATCATCACTTCTGGTTTTTGTTTTTAAATAAGTTAGTGAATATGGAGGATAGATTCTCAATTAGAGTTGTATCATGAGAGGGTAAGGTCTGGAAGACCAGCAAGGAGGTGCTTATACTGACTTAGATTTATGATAATGCAGAAATGATGTGTGTGTGTGTGTGTGTGTGTGTGTGTGTGTGTGTGTGTGTTGGGGTGGAGAGCAGATAAAATTTTGAGAGGCGATAGAAAAGTGGAAATGATTTATTTGAATTTAAGTAATTGAGAAATGACATGAGAGTAACCTTTACATTTTGAACCTGACTATAGTAAAAATGTGGGAACAGAGAGGAAGACTTATTTCTCAATTTTTGAGTTTTTGATGGCTGCCTCACTGTGGAAGCAGCTGCTTGGGCAGGCAACCTGAAATAGAGGAGGGTGGGGAAAGGGGGTAGAGGTCATGGGGTTTCTCCTTGAAGCATTTGTTTTCTTTAGGAAAAAAATAATCTGATACATTTTTCCCTTCTCAATTTTTTTACAGCTCTTGCAAGCTTAGGATATGAAAAGAGCTGTGTGTTATTCAATTGTGCAGCTTTAGCTAGCCAGATCGCAGCAGAACAGAACCTGGATAATGATGAAGGATTGAAAACAGCTGCTAAGCAGTATCAGGTATGCAGAAAGCAGTTCCTTCATAGTGTTCAGATACAAGGTGAACTATAGTGATTTGTATTTAGATGTGTCGATGCTTCTTTTTCACAACAGATGTTTTCTGGGAAAGTAATGCACCTTTTAAATAATTGATTTTTATTGTTGAAATCCTTAGATAAACTGTTCAGTCCTGAAAACATTTGTTTTGTAGGCCACCTCTGCTTTTCCTCACCCTTGTATACCCAGTACCTAGCACAGTGCCTGGCACATAATGGAGGCTCAGTAAATGTTGGCTGGACAAAAAAAGATGAGATGTGTGGATGAAATTTCGTACATTTATGGAAAAATCTTTTTTTAACTTTATTATTTTTATTTTATGTGTATGAGTGTATTGCCTGCATGTATGTGAGTGCACCCGTGTTGTGCAATACTGCAGAGGTCAGAAGAGGGCTTCAGATTCCCCTAGAACTGGAGTTAAGGACGGTTCGTAGCCGCCATGTGGGTGCTGGGACTCGAACCTGGGTCCTCTGCAGGAGCAGTCAGTGCTCTTAACTGCTGAGCCATCTCTCTAGCCCCTGGAAAATCTCTTATGAATAGATAACTTCATTTAAATATTTATACATTTTTTTGGTATATTTTCTCAAGAATGAGACACATGTAAAACTTCAGTGTTTTAACAAAATTAAGAACTTTCAGCAAGAAAATAAGTTTAACTGTAGACTTGTGGAGAAGTCATATTTAAACATTTTAAATTTTATTAATTTATTATTTTTATGTGTATGAGTGTTATGCCTGCATATCTGTAAGTGTACCCATGTCGTGCAATGTCCATAGGGATCTGTATTAGTCACTTTTCTGTTGCTATGATAGAAACACTGACCCAAGCAATTTATAGAAGGAAGAGCTTATTTGAGCTTATGGTTCAAGGGGTATTACAGTCCGTCATGGCAGGGAGGGCATGGTGGCTGGAGGTGGCTGGAGCAGGAGCAGCAGAAGCTGAGCTCTCACATGATCACGCAGGCACAGGAAACAGGAGAGTGACTGGAGATCTGGCAAGGCTTAAGAACTCTGTAAGCCCACCCCCAGTGATGTGCTTCCTCCAGGATAGCCATACCTTCTAAAACCTCCCAAAACAGCACCATCATTGTGGACAAAATGTCCAAACACTTGGAGCCTATGGGGGACATTTCCATTCAAACCACCACAAGGTCAGAAGATGGTGTTAGATTCCCCTGGAACTGGAGTTACAGATGGTTGCTAGCTGCTATGTGGGTGCTGGGAATTGAACCTGGGTCCTCTGCAGGAGCTGCTAGTGCTCTTAACCCCTGAGCCATCTCTCCAGCCCCAGACGTTATATTTAAATGTCAGGCCTGAAATGTTCTTAAGATAGCTAACTATATCTTAGGTATTAGCCATCAGCTTATATGGCATGCTGTTCTGTGACAGTTGCTTATTATTACTCAGTTTTTATTTAGTTTTTGAGTACATTTGAATTTGGGAATAAGGTAAGAGCATTTCAGTATTAAAAATATTTGAATAGGGTCTGGAGGGATGGCGTAGTCAGTAAAGCACTTGGCTTGTAAGCCCAAGAAGTGAGTTTGAGCCCCAAAAGCCATACAAAAAATTCTGGGCTTAGTGGTATGTGCTTGTAATTCCAGTGCTGGGGAGGCAGAGATGGGAGGATCCCTAGGGCTCACTTGTCCAGCCAGGTTAGCCTAATTGGTGAGCTCCAGGCCAAAGATGGTGAGCAGTGTTTTAAAGAGTACACCTGAGATTGTCCTCTGGCCTGCACACACGCACATGCACACGCACACACACACACACACACACACACTCACACACCCATGCACACACGTAAACAAACAGAAAACCATTCGAATAGTGTTTTATCCCTTCCTCTGTTCTTAGTAAGGTTGAAGAGGTATATAATGAAATATACTTAATCAGTTTTTGCTATTACTTACTACTTTCTTTTTCCCTGTAATCTACTTTTAATCTTTGTTGTTATTCTGGAAAGATACTCTGCTTATTAATGAGATGTTTTAGGTTGCAATATGTGAATTTGTTTGTAGTTACTCTTCACTGAGTTAGCATTTGGAAGGCTTGTGTGTAATAGTAGGAAATTCAGTCTCAAATTTAAAGAAATTTTTTTTCTTTACTTGCAGTTTGCTAGTGGTGCCTTTTTACATATTAAAGAGACAGTTTTATCTGCCTTAAGTCGAGAGCCTACTGTGGACATATCTCCAGATACTGTTGGGACCCTCAGTCTTATTATGCTGGCACAAGCCCAAGAAGTATTTTTTTTAAAGGCCACAAGAGGTAACGCCACTTTTCTCCTCTTCTTTCTTGCATGTGAAAACAAGTGCTAGGCTTTTATGCTGAGAAGGTGATTAGAATATAGGATGTTTCATGTAGGCAGGCAGATGATAAGGAAAAAAATTGGATAGCCAAGGTAAGTTCAGAGGGAGAGTTGCTATGAGGAAAATAAGAATGCATTACGTGATAGTGGCTGGTGGTGGTGGTCATCATGCTAATATTGGATTTGGGTTTCTTAGGTTGATACGGTGGCACGTGCAGGCAGGTAGATCTGAATTTGAGGTCAGCCTGGTCTACAGAGTGAGTTATAGGCCAGCCAGGGTTATATAGTGAGAACCTGTCTCAAAAAACCAAAAAAAAAAACCGTAACAAAGAAGTTTTTTTTTTTTTTTAAATCATTTTATTTACATGTGTGCATGGGTGTCTGGCCCTGGAGGTGAGAAGAGGGCATTGGATCCTCTGGAGCTGGAGTTACAGGCATTTGTGAACTGCCCATTGTGGATGCTGGTGTCTGAACTCCCATCTTCATGGTCTAGTAGCGAGTGCTCTTAACTGTTGAGCCATCTCTCCACCCTCTTTTAGAATGGGTCCTGTTAAATTAGACTTAAATGACAAGAAGGAGTTATTCAGGCAAAGTCCTTGGTGAATAAGGGGATAAGAACACTTCTTTTTTTTAAGATTTTATTTTTAATTACACATATGTGTATGTGTATGTGTATGTGTCTATGTGTGGGTATGTGCATGTGAGTGCAGGTGCCCGTGGAGAAGCTTCCGATCCCCCTGGAGTGTTGTGAGCCACTCGATGTTGGGTGCTGGGAACTGAACTCAGGTCCTCTGCAATTGCAGTACGTACTTTTAACTACTGAGCCATCTGTCCAGCCTCTTAAGAACAGTTCCTGTAAGGTATGTATGTAAGTCAGTATGAGAGATTGGAGGGTAGACTGAATAAGTGCAGAGAAATTGAAAATAAGAGCTGGCATCTTATGGAAGAGCTGTGAACATGAAAAATGTTTTCTTTAAAGCTTAGCTGGGTGTGATGTCTCACACCAGCTAGTCTTAGTGGCTTGGGAGACTGAGGCAGGATTGCTCTGAGTTCGAAGCAATGCTGGGCTACCTAGTGAGTTCCAGGCCAGCCTGGGCAACAGCCTGAGACTCAAAAAACAAAATGAAGCAAAATGCCAGTGGTAATGAATCAGTCTTATAATCATGGCACTTGAGAGGCTGGGTTGGAGGCCAGCTAGGGCTACAGAGTGATATTTTGCCTCTAAAACTGGTTGAGAGAGAGAGGCAGAGAGAAGGAGGGGGCAGCTTATATGGAGATTAGATTTATACACATGAAGATTGACTTTTTTGAACTTTATAAATTCAGCATTCTGTTGTGTTTACAGAACTTCATAACCATTACCACCACCTTATTTCAGAATATCGTTGTCCATCACCCCTTAAAATAATCCTAAACATGTCAGTGGTCACTCTTTTCCTTTCTGCCCTTTCAGCCATTAGTCTTTGAATTTGTCTGTGGAATCATTAATTATAGACAGGGTCTTACGTAACCTGGATTGGCTTTGAACTTGCTGTGTAGGCAAGGATGGCTTTGACTGCTGATCCTCCTGGCTTTACTTCTCAAGTGCTAGGATTATAGACTTGCATCACCATACTCTACTACCTATGGAATAATTTTTATGCAGATTTAATTTCATTAGTAACTGATTTCTTTAGACAGATGCATTAAGTTTTGGTCTTGATGTCTGTATCAAGTCATGTATGAAGTTACTAAATCTATTTTTATTGTTTTATTTATTATTTGTGTGTATGTGTCTGTTGTGTATGTGAGTGTGGGCATGTGTGTGCCATGGCACTAATATGGAGGTCAGAGTGCAACTTTCAGGAGTTGGTTCTCTCTTTGTGTTGTGGGTCCCAAAGATCAGACTCGGGTGGTCAAGGTTGTGCAGTAAGTGCCTTTACCTGAGGAGTCATCCTGTTGGCCTATTTCATTTATTTTAGGTGTATAATAGTTTTAACATTTCATTCCAGATAAAATGAAAGATGCCATCATAGCTAAGCTGGCGAATCAGGCTGCAGATTATTTTGGTGATGCTTTCAAACAGTGTCAGTACAAAGACACTCTCCCCAAGGTCAGTTACTGTCTTTATAAACGTGGTATTTTTGCATGTGGAAATACTCTTATGTATGAGAAGCAAGTTGAAAATTATGTATTACAAAGACATTTTAAATTTTAGTAGAAGCATTCGAATCTATTTTTAGAGATAACGTTCAGTTTCAGATGCATGCACCTTTCTCTTAGGGGATGCCTTTGTCTTTCCTCTTCACTAAACTTGTTTTCCTGAGCTAAAACTGGAAAAGTTTGACTGACTGCCTTCAATGATGCTGCCAGATTAAAGTGCTTTGTCATTCTGGACTTTTGTGTCTTTGGAAGAAGCATGAATACTGAGCATGTTGGCGATTCACATTTTTAATTATTGTCCTGTTTTCTTAAAGATGAGCCTTAAAGCGCAAAAACAGACATACAGAAAAAAAGGAAAAGAAAATTTAACAAATTCATCCGATTCCTTGATTAGAATTAAGTTTTACCAACAGGGATAGAAAATTGGGCTGCTAATGGACAGCTAAGGAAAGCAAGCGTCCCACCCACGTGTCACAGGAAGTATTGCTTTACTGTAACCTTTTCTGAAGTGGCATTGGAAAGATGTTCAGAGATGATTGTTTGTAAGTGACAAAACAGATGACTAGACAAATAAAGCTGGAGGGTTAAAATAGAAATGTAAATGTGGAGTGAATACTCTGCTACTTCCTTGGCAATCCTTCAAGATAGTTCACTTACTTGGTAGCAGATGATACTGACTCAGGACAGCTTAATATGTATGTTGTTCAGGAGTCTTTGTAAGTGACAAAACTACAGAAAACATAGAGATGAAGTAAAAATGGACATAAAGGGAAACAGTAGTACACATTAGTCATAAAATGAACAGTAAAGAGTTAATGTAAAGATTCCTAGGGATTTAAAATACACTGTGGGCTGAGGTAGTGGTAGAGTGTTTGCTTATCATGTGAGCAGCCCAGGGCTCTGTCCACAGCACTGCCACCACCACCACTCAAAACTTGGACACACCATGAGTCTACAGGTTTGCCCAGGACTCTTGGCTGTTAGTAGCATTACAGAGACTTGGGGCCTTCCTCTCACTCAGTGTTTGGCTGCACAGTGTACTTTTATAGCCCCTTATACCAGTAGTTCAGTTCTGTCACAAAGAGAAGACTATCACCTCAGAGCCACCTCTGCAGCATCCTGGGTCTTCTTGAACATCTGTTCATGTACCAAGTTGCTCTAGCCTTCCCTTAAGTACCACATGAATGCAGTTTGAGATTGAGATGCCTTCTAGTTTTTCCTTTTTGCTAATAAAGCTCATAAGGTATTTTCATATTCTAGTTACAAACTGGAATATCTGCAGTAGTGGTTCAGGAAGCTAGGAGATTATGTATTGGTGGACAGAAAGACATTCCAGGTAGTAATTTGGTTTTTGGTTCTCATATTTTTATCTGGATAGCAGTTGTCAGGTATATTTCTTAGATTTTTAAAAATACCATGTGCTTCTGAAAAACAGTGAGATTGCAGGCTCTGACTGAGCCTGTACCAATACAGTAGTTCTCTTGGTTCATGTATTTGGACTTTCTTAGTTTTGACTATATTTTAAAAATCAGTTAGGGCCAAATTAGAGTATATTAGTACAATTAGTCATTAGTGCATTTGTATGTCTGCGATTTGTTTTTGATTATATGGTACTGAAATGTCAGTTTTTATATGATACAAAATCATTTTTATTGGCTAATCTTTATTACAGTCTCTTAGCATATGAATTGAAGTGAGAACTTAACCATAACTGTCTTTTGTCTTTTAAACATGATGAAACAGTCAGCTATAGAGCAGTTTCCTTAGTATATGTGAGTAATGGTGGGTTAGGTATCCAAGGGCTGGGCAAGGGCATAGGAGAAGGCTTCTAAACCCAAGCTTGGTATTCCTCCATGAACACCCCACTCTTTCCTCATGCATGCCTTCCTTCCTTTTGACTTCATGGCTCAATAAAAAGGTCTATAAAAACCTGAATTGGCTCTAATTAACAGGAAAAAAAAATCCCTTAATTTTATGGGAAGAAAAAAATTGAATTTAATGACTTCAATTCCCTCAAAATCATGAGATCTTTTCTGCTTACACCTAATGTCTAACCTCTCTAAACCATTAATGAGTGATCTAATTTCTGTCTCCTTTTTCTTCCTGCATCCCATGTTGTCTGTGATGGTTTGTTTGGTTGGACTCTCCCCTGGTCAGTATTTTTATTTCCAGGAGGTGTTCCCTGTCTTGGCTGCAAAGCACTGCATCATGCAGGCCAACGCTGAGTACCACCAGTCCATCCTGGCAAAGCAGCAGAAGAAATTTGGGGAAGAGATCGCAAGGTTGCAGGTGAGTCTCTTGGTGATAAATACTTAAGTAACTTTGTTCTCCAGTTTCTGCCTAGTGAGATGTCCAGGTTTGCTCATTGAAACCTTTCCCATTCATTGCATGTATCAGCAGACTGTTTTCATCTTCAGGCTTTACTTACAGCATGCTTTGTGAAGTCTTATATTTTATTTCTTGTAAAATTTTTATTCAGTTTTTGTATTTATCCATGCTTATTTTAGTGAAAAATATTCTAAATTAATTTCATGTCCCAAGAAGATGTGTAGCGTTTAACTTTAGTTCTAGCCTTGGTCCAAACTGGAGATTATAATCCCACAGTTTGAGAGGGACACGATGGAGATATACTGTTCTTTCACTGTGAGATTTTTTTTCTCTGGGTATATGTGTTGGCCAAAGGTCAGTGTTAGGTGTCTTCAGTTACTCTTCACCTTAGTTTTGGAGAAAGAGTTTCTCTCAACCTGGAGCTCATTGCTTGGGCCTAGAATGGCTGTCTACCTGTCTCTGCCCCTCTGGGCTGGGGTGGGAGTGACAGGGTCTTACCAGGCTGACCTCAAAGTTGTGACCTTCCTGCCTCCCCATTTATGGGGTTATAGGCATGCTCCATAATTTCCTGATAAATTTTACCTATAAGGGGAAATTTCACAAATTAAAATTATTAATCAGCAGATATCCATTAACTAGCTTCAGTGACTATTGGTATTTGTTGTTTTGTTTTTGAGATAGGGTTTCTGCCTTAGCCCAGGCTGTCATCACACTTGGGTTTTCCAGTCTCAGACTTTTGATGCTGGTGGTACAGATAAGCCCTTATGTTTCTTCTTCCTGCCTTTTTAATTTTTTACCTATTTTTTAGGACAGAATTTCACCATGTAGCTGGTCTTGAACTTGCTTTGTGGCTGAGGGTGGCTTTGAACTCCTCATCCTCTCTACCTCCCAAGTATTGGTATTACAGATGTGCACCATTGCATCATGTTTGTTTGGTGCTGGGGATTGAACCCAGGGCCTCGTGCTGCTGGACGAGTACTCTACAGAGTTCTAGCCCCTGAATGCTTTCTTCTGCTTGGTATGGTCTGTTGGTGATGCTTTCTGGTGTAGTTTTTACGTGATTCATTGAATTCTTTCTGACGTTTCCGTTTGTTTTTTCTCACCCATGGTCCTGTCTTTCTCGTCTGTGTTGCTGATTTTGCTGTCTAGATCCTGAATTGATTTCCTTATTTCATTTTTGTATCCTCTGAAGTCATTGATCATTTTTACAAATAATTTTTTTGAATTCTTCATCCCCTATTTATCTCTTTTATTTAGCATCTTTGAATTTAGTTTTTATGTTATCTTTTAGAGACCAGTGTACATGTGTGTCTATGTGTGGGTATGTGCACATGAGCTCAGTTGCCTCTGAAGGCCAGAAGAGGGCATCAGATGCTTTGGAGCTGATGCTACAGGTGGTTGTGAGCTGTTGGATAGAGGTGCTGGGAACCAAACTCTGGGCCTCTGAAAGAGCAGCAAGTTCTAATCTTTTAAAGGAGTCATTTTGTCATGCACTTTGATGTTTCTTGTGTTTCTGTGTTGCAGTTTGCACTTCTGTTGGTTTGAATAGCTCTTTCAATTTTATTTGAGGATCTTAGTAAGGAAGGAGCCTTCTCTGGAGGGCTCAATCCCCAGTACCACTATGACAGGGGAAAACAAACTACAGAGAACTAAACAAGATATGGAAATACACTTAAAATTGATTAAAACTCACTGTTACTCCACCAATGACTAAATCACAGAAAATGGCAAAGATAATGTAACATGTGCTGCAGAGCCAGAAGTTGTTTTGGGCCAATGTGGACAGAGTGAGTGAAAGTGTTGAAGGAAGAGAGCAGAGGAAGGGGAACAGAAGTAAGAGGCAGGGCTAAATAGAGACTGCAAGAGAAGAGGGGAACGTTGGGGAGAGGGAGAAGGTAACAATGAGGGATTAAAAGAAAGACTTTCAATAAAATTGGGTAAGTAGAAGGAGATAGAAGTGCAGACAGGCTGGGGAGGGACTTGGGTTAGAGCACTGGCTGGTCTTACAGAAGAACCCAGCACGTACATGGGGGTTTATAACCAACTACAACTTCGGTTCTGGGGGACCCAATGTCCTCATGCCTCTGTGGCCCCAGGCACTCACTGGGTGCACACACATATATACAGGTAAAACACCTATAGATTTAAAAAAAAAAAAAAAAGTAAAACTTTTTTTAAAAGAAAAACGATAAAAATAAGCATAATACTGAAAACATAGTAAAAAGGAAGAAAACAGGGAACATAAGCTCCCTTCCCAAAAATAAGAAAAAAAAGAAAAAGAAACGTTGCTCAAAATAACTTTAAGAATGTGTTAATAAAATTACATAATTTTAAGAAGGGGAGCATTTTTCAAAAAAGATAAAGTCAAACTGTTACTTAAAAGTAGAAAAGGGGGTGGCTGTTGACTGCTCTAGCAGAGGACCTGGGTTTGATTCCCAGCACCCACATGGCAGCTACGAACCATCCTTAACTCCAGTTCCAGGGGACTCTGAAGCCCTCTTCTGACCTCCGCGGCATTGCTCGACATGGGTGCACTCACATACATGCAGGCAATACACTCAGACACATAAAATTAAAATAATATATAATATTTTTTTAAAAAGTAGGAAAGGGGGGTCACAAGAGCAAAACCTCACCATAATGCTGTGTTAGAGTGGTGTCTTTCTGCGTCCTCTGAAGTGGAAGTCTGCAGGGTAGATGTGGGGGCAGGAGCGTTGATCTTGGAGACTTGTCTGCCTGATGGTCCAGTGGAGCTTGTATTCCACAGATGTCAGGTGTCTGCCAGAGCTGTCTTCACTTGAGAAGGTTTCCATTTCTTACAGGGGCCTCTGCTAATCATCTTTAGCTTTACAGTCTATGTGTTGGTCAGATTCTTCTCCCTACCCTCAAGAAACTCCCCAGTCACTACACTGTGTGGTGGCTAGTACACTAGATGGGGACTGTCAGGTGTATTGGCAGTGGGGAAGCGAACACAGCATCTGTGCTGCTGGATATGTTATACTTTTCAAAACCCACTGAACATTAAGTACTTCATACTGGGTTGGGGCTGTGGATGTCAGGTGGTTTGCTGGAGTGTTGTTTAACTGCTACAGCCATGAACCTTGTGGGCAGATAAGTGGCTTCAGAGGTTGATTACCCCCTACATTACACTTGGGGCTGTAAAAGTTCAGAGCTTTTCTCAGGTACTGAGGTCAGCTTCTAGCCTCCCTACAAGAGTGGACTTACCTCTCAGTACACTTCCTGCCTCTGGCTGCCTGCACTTTTTGGCATGTTAGGATTGAGTTACCTGATTCTGCAGAATTGCCTTCTAGGGCTGTTTCTTGTTGGGTGCCTGTTGCAGGTTGACTTCAGGCTCTGTGACTTGTGATCATTCCTTATTCTGAGACCCTCAGTTTTAGCCCCCTCCCTCCCCCTCTGAGACAGGGTCTCACAATGTAGCTCTGACTCTGTACATGAGGCTGGCCTGGAACTCACAGAGATCCACTTGTTTCTGCTCCCAAGTGCTGGGGTTAAAGGTGTGTACCATCATACCAGGTTTGTAGCTCAGTTTTAAACTGTAGGTTACCTCTCAAGGTGGTGACCAACCATTATGGGTCATGTTGAGTGACAAAATGGAGCTCCCCTCTGACCTGTCCTGCTTGGAGGAGTCACTTTGACACAGACTTGAGAGAACTGTGGCCATGTTCTGTCCGCAGAACTGCCAGTCTCTTTTCCCCAGGCTGCTCGGCTTACCTTTTTTATGAGGCTTCTGACCCCTCTTCTGGAGGAGGCCCACATTTGGAGTGGAACCTTCTGTTTCCCTGCACTGTTCAGCTGTCCCATGAGTCCCTCTTCCTCTTTCTGTCTTTGGAACAGTGTATTGTGTTATCTTGACTCTTTACTGCATCACAAGGAGGCCGTTTGTAACTGCTGACTGACCTGGAGCTCCTGTGCTTCTGTACAATTTTTTTTGTACCATGGTTGTATCCTTAATTTTAGTTTCTTTAGCATAGTATCTTATCTGTTTTGTGGAACTATTTCTTTAGTAAGTTAAAATACTCATTTTGTTGTGCTTGCCTCATACTCACTGCATAGTTGAGGATGATCTTTAACTCATGATCTTCCTCTTTGCACTTCCCAGGTGCTGGCTTTAAAGGCATGCCCTACCACACCTGGCTTAACCCTACTTGTTTTTGTGTTTTCTTATGGATTATTCATGTTAATTTTTATTTCCTTATGTTTAAATGTGACTGATTTTCCTGGAGCTCCTGGACTGGGGAATGGACCTGGGTGGCTTTTTTCTTATTTTAAATTTTATTTGTCTTTCATTTTGTATGTATGCTTGTGTAAGTGTACCATGTGCATACAGGGTCCTACAGAGCAGAAGAGGGCACATGGGTCCCCTGGAACTAGAGTTATAGATAGTTGTGAGGCCCCCTGTGTGGGTGCTATTAACTATTGTTAATAATTCTACATTATTGCTAAATGTAGAATTTGTGAACCTTTGTATCTTATAAATGGTAAATGTTAAAACATGTATGCAGATTATCCTGACAATTCTATTTATATAATTTATTTATTTATTTATTTATTTATTTATTTATATTTTATGTATCTGAGTGTATTGCCTGCATGTATGTGAGTGTACCCGTGTTATGCAATGCCTGCGGAGGTCAGAAGAGGGCATTGGATTTCCCTGGAACTGGGGTTACAGGTGGTTGTTATCCATGTAGGTATTGGTAATTGAACCTCGGTCCTTTTCTAGAGTCATCGCTCCAGCCCCCCCTGACAATTCTTTTGATCTTCTATCTGCTTCAGAATTTGAGATTTAAATTTGTGTCAGGCATTTTTTCCCTCTTGACACCTAAATACTATGCTATTTGGTTGACTTATCTGATCCATTGTTTCTTTCACTAAGAGGGCGACTCATTCAGGTTTCTGCGCATGTGAATGACTGCTGTGGTTTCAAGACCTTTTGTCTTAGGGCTCCAAAAGGACTTTTGATACTTTAAAATCGCTGTTAATAGTTCTGTGGCTTATAAAAATAACAGCCAATCTTCCTTCCCTTAATGTCAGCTTATATTGACTGACCCATAGATTTCTTTTACTGCCTTTTCAATTCACCCATGTATTTAAAGGGATGTCTGCTGTTACCCTTCTATTTTTAGATAATTTTTGTGATTGGAGAATTTCCAGGTTATTTGGTCAGTCACAATGCTGGAAATGCTGGATTTTTTTGTTGTTGTTTGTTTGTTTTCTCAGCAGTGCTTGGTAAAAAAGAAAAGAAAGCATTCTTTGTTTTTCTTCATTTTTTTTTTTTTTTTATTTTTTTTTTTTTTTTTAGCATGCAGCAGAATTGATTAAGACTGTGGCCTCTCGTTATGATGAATATGTCAACGTGAAGGATTTTTCTGACAGAATCAACCGTGCCCTTACTGCAGCAAAGAAGGATAATGACTTCATTTATCATGATCGGGTTCCAGACCTTAAAGATCTGGATCCTATCGGCAAAGCCACACTTGTGAAGTCCACCCCAGTCAGTGTACCCATCAGCCAGAAATTCACTGGTAGGTCTGTTCTTCAGATACAGTTTAGTCCACTTAAGTTTTTTTTTCCCCCTCACAGACGTTGAAAATTATTTATTTTTCATTTTACATGAAGAAAATGGTGCTTTGGTGAAGCTAGCTCTTTCCTCCAGGCTCATCTGTGTTTTTAATGTAAAACTGCACCTAGATCATCTCATACTTGGGTTATAACCTACATTCAGGCTGTTTAACATGAACGTGATAGGGACTGGGGAGATGCCTCAGTGGTGAAGAGCTCTTACTACTCTTGCATAGGACCTGGGTTCTGTTTCTAGCTCCCACAACCGCTTGTAACTACAGTTCCTGGGGATCCAAAATCCTCCTCTGGCCTCCAAAGGTTTTCGCATGCACATGGTATACATAAACTCACAAAGGAAAACACAGATACACATAAATACCTAAATCTTTTTTTTTTTGTCTTTTTGAGACAGGGTCTCCCAGTAACCCCAGCTAAAAGTATACATTGCTGCCGGGCGTGGTGGCGCACAACTTTAATCCCAGCACTTGGGAGGCAGAGGCAGGCGGAGCTCTGTGAATTCAAGGCCAGACTGGTCTACATTGTGAGTTCCAGGCCAGCTGGTTACTGGGAGACCCTGTCTCAAAAAGACCAAAATAAATAAATAAATAAATAAATAAATAAATAAATAAATAAATAAATAAATAAATAGAATGTGAGGCTAGCCTGGTCTACATAGTGAGTTCTAGGCCCGCCTCAACTATAGTCTCAGTCTAGCAAGCATCCAACCAACCACCCAACCAGCCAAGAAAGTGAAAAAGTTAAATGTTGTGTCTTTAGTGAATTTTTAAAGTGGAAACTGGTGAGGTATCTATTAAGATAGAAATTTGAAACAGGGTTTGAGTAAGATTAGGACAAACACTGATCAGTATAATTAAGATATTCCACTAAAAATAAATGTATATGTTTATTTGTGATAGAGGTCTCAGCTCACTCAGCTTTCATTAAGATATTCCACTAAAAATAAATGTATATGTTTATTTGTGATAGAGGTCTCAGCTCACTCAGCTTTCAACTTATTATGTACCCTGGATTGGCCTTGAACTTCTAATTCTTCTGCTTAGCTTCCTCTAAAGACTGAGATTACAGGCTTGAACCACCATACCTGGCTAAATAATTTTGTGAACCAGTAAATTTCTAGGATCATATTTATATTAGATAAATGTTAAAGCCTTTGGTATTGTGAATGTATATAAGGCAATACCTGATAGCTTCAAATAGATCTAGATAATATGTAACTTGTTGGAAAAGAGTGATAATTTAACTTACTTTTATTTAGCAAACATAAAATGTGCCAGTGACTCTCTTAAGCACTTTATAAATGACATCTTATTTGTCTCTTAACAGCTACCCCATGAAATGGGAACTGTTAATGTTTTTATTTTACTGATGAGGATGCAGATGCTCAGAGGGATTCCCTTTCCTAAAGTTATATAACTAACTTTAAAAGTGATGGAACTGTAAACTCAGTCTAGCACTGTGAAATACTCAGTCAATGTAATGCACAAGTGAGCAGTGCCACTAGAGAGCACTTGTATAGAATGACAAAAATGTAAAGTAAATAAAGTCCCAAGAAAGAAAGTGTCGATTTCTACCATGGTCCATGAATGTGGTGCTCCGGGCTCTTCACTGCCGTGCTTTCCGTCATGACCCAGCTTGCGATCTTGTGATGTTGGAGAGAAAATGAGTAGTTTCTTCTGTGGCCTGTGTTTTTATCTTAAAATTGATTTGGAATGTCTCTTCTCTTTTAGATTTGTTTGAGAAAATGGTACCTGTGTCTGTGCAGCAGTCCTTGGCTGTGTTTAATCAGAGGAAAGCTGACTTGGTTAACAGATCAATTGCTCAGATGAGAGAAGCTACCACCTTAGCAAATGGGTAGGGGAACCTTACTTTTCATAAATTTGACTCAGAAGTGCTAAATTTTTCTGTTGACTTGAATAATGAGTATTTGAATAATGAGTGTTTTTAGTTGGTGATGAATGCCAAGCAGATGTAGATACAGAAACACACACCTTTCTTGGGGGTATTTTATTAAGGCTTAGGTAAATTAGAGTTGGAAGAAATTGAATTACAGAAAACAGGTGAGATTATTTGACTGTTTTATTTAAGAGATTTGTTTGAGGGGAAATGAGAAGTAGAAATGAGCCCTTTACGATGGACAGTGCCAGGTGGGGACAGTGCCAAACCTGATGACCCGAATTTGGTCCCCAGGACTCATGTGATGGAATGGCCAGAACTGACTCTGGAGAATTACCCTCTGACTTCAATATGCACACTGTGGCATAGGTACATTCACTTTCATACCCACACAAAATAAATAAATAAATGTAAGAAGGTACTCTAAACCAATTTTTATAGAAGACTAAGAAAACATTTCATTGGTTTAAACAACTAGGTGTACTTTGTACATAATGGAATGCACTCATTTAAAGTGTAGTTCGTTAGTTTTGATAAATGCGTAATCCCATATAAGTACCGCAAAGATGAAAGTAGAGAGCGTAGGGGCTGGAGAGATGGCTTGATGGTTAAGAGCACTGACTGCTCTTGCAGCACACACATGGTGACTAACAACTGAGTCATCTTAACTACTGAGTCATCTTTCTGTTTCCCATTTGTTGCCTTTTTACAATTAAATTTTCCTGGGGCCAGCAAGATGGGCCAGCTGTGTAAAGGCACTTGCTGGTAAGCCTGACCACCTTATTTTGACTTCTAGGACCCATGTGGTAGAAGAAAGAGAACTGACTCTTGCAAGTTGTTCTCTGTTCTCCACATGTGTATAACGGCACCAGTGTGTCCCTCTTCTCGTTAAATAAGTAAATGTAATTAAAAAATTGAAGATTTTTTCTTCTTAATTAGCTCTGTTTTTAAAGAAAGTCTTTAGTCAGATATATGTGATTGCATGTTTTTCTATTTTGACTTCATGTTTTTAATTTAAATTATTACATGAACTATTTTTAAAAACATTTTATTATTTTTTTATTTTATGTGTATTAGTGTGTTGCCTGCATGTAGGTAGGTGCACCCGTGTCATGCAATGCCAGTGGAGGTCAGAAGAAGACATTGGATCCCCTGGAACCGGAGTTAACAGACAGTTGTTAGTTGCCATGTGGGTGCTGGGAGTCGAACTTGGGTCCTCTGCAAGAGCAGTCAGTGCTGTTAACTGCTGAGCCATTTCTCCTGCCCCTACATGAAATATCTCTCTCTCTCTCTCTCTCTCTCTCTCTCTCTCTCTCTCTCTCTCT